GCCAAGAAATTTCCGACCACATCCTCAAGATACGTGATTGTTGGCCTTCCCCCACGTACCTCTCACAAGTTCATTCCAACCCGAACGACACCAGAAACGCCATCGGCATCAGTCTTTATGGAGCTATCTTTGGGGACTCTGCAGTGCCAGAGCTTCCAAAGAGACAGCCCCACCCTACAGTCTCCGTTCCCGCCAGCCGCCGGACATCAACTGTCCCCCTTCGATCGCCTAACCTCCTTCCTACAAACCCTCCTCGTTTCTTCTTCCTTACATCCCTTCATCTCTTCATCCCTAACCTACATCCCTTCATCCCTCTACCCTACATCCCTCTACCTCGACCCCTACCCCTCATCCCTTCATCTCTTCATCCCTACCCCACATCCCATCATCCCTCTACCCTACTCCCCTTCATCCCTCCACCCCTTCCGCTTCTTGAATCTAACAATTATTCCACTATGCAATAAACCTCTCGAAACTCATACTGTTATTGCCGTGGTCCTTGTTAGTGAAATGCAGTTTTATAAACTTTGTTCAGGAACAGGGCCACGCCCAGAACACCACTCATTTCCTCTGCACAGAGAATTTAAGCACAACGAACCCGTTCACTTCCTCTTCGACTCTTGTCTTCACATCCCTCCCCCCAACCCCGTTTTGGTCCTCCTATTTCTCTCTCTCTCTGTCTCTCTGTCTCTCTCTCTCTCTCTCTCTCTCTCTCTGTCTCTCTCTCTCACAGGATTACAGGAACAACAGGGGACTGCCAGAGCTTCCGAAGAGACAGCCCCACCCTACATTCTCCGTTCCTGCCAGCCGCCGGACATCAACGGTCCCCCTTCGATCGCCTAACCTCCTTCCTACTAACCCTCCTCGTTTCTTCTTCCTTACATCCCTTCATCTCATATTCGTCTTTGCCTTTTATCACAACGTGTCTCTGGTGGGTACTGACAGGAAGGTGCCGGTGACCACATTACGTGACACTGGAGCATTTGATTCAGTTATCGTGGCGTCTGCTCTGCCTTTCTATATTTTATTTGTGAATCACACTGTGTGACATCACTAAAACCTTTTCTTGACCAGATTTTCTGTGTTTTATATTTCAATAAATTGAATCTCCGCGTTTTCGAAGGTTCATTTTATAGATTCAACAATAAATGAAGAAAGATTTGGAGCATTTTCTTTGTCAAATGTTTTTATTGAACAAACTGTATTTAAGTTTTTAACCCTCGTTTGACCTCAAACTACTGAACCAGACGAGCAGAGTTCTGGATCACATTTCATTCTTTCATTTATTCTTCATCGCTCTTCATCGACTGGAATCCCAACAGTGCGAGTCTGAAGCAGAGAGGTTGGTTCATACGTTCAGTTCTGATCCTTTGATTTTGTTCTCCACTCTTTTCTTTCTTTTCTGACTCTTTTGATTTCATTTCCTGTTCTGATCATCAGTAACATAAACTCAATAAAAGCCCTTTACATTTCTACATTTTATATTTCAGGTTTCTTTCTCACACACGATTCTTCTCTCCGTATCAGTGACCTGATGCACTTTAATTAAGAGAATCAAAAAACACAGGACATGATGTTTGTCTGTCCTTTGTGCCAAGGTGGTGAGCACTTCCAGGAAATGAACCTTGTTTTGAGTGGTTGACGATCAACAAGTGGGGGTTTTCCGGCTTGTGTGGAGTGTATCTTGGTTTGGTTTACCAAGATAGACATTCAGAAAGTTATGAAACAGAACAAAGCAGAAAACACACGAGAGCTTTAAATGTGAACAACATGACACTTCCTCACTTCTTAGATCAGAAGATAGAGAAGAGATCAATAGATGTGACCAGAAGTACAACACATTCAATCCATACAATATAACTGATTGATATGATGAGAGCAGCAGCACTATCAGGTATGATCATTACATTACATTACATTACAGTCATTTAGCAGACGCTTTTATCCAAAGCGACTTACAATAAGCGTATTCAACATCGGTTTTCAAGAGAACTACTAGTCACCAGAAGTCACAAGTGCATCTCCTTTCCTCAAACAAGCATCTAAGAGCATAAACCAAAGCCAATGTACAGTGCAGAAACAAACGAATGCAATAAGTGCCACAAACTAATAAGAAAACAATAAGTGCAATAAGCTAGTATGAATACAATAGATGCTAAGTAAATGCTAAGTGGAAGGCTCAGGGTAGGCCTTTTTGAAGAGGTGAGTTTTCAGCCTGCGCCGAAAGATGGGCAGCGACTCTGCTGTCCTGACGTCAGTGGGTGAGTTCATTCCGCCACTGTGGGGCCAGGACAGAAAACAGCTGCGACCGGGTCGATCGGCCGCAGGGAACTCTGAGCGACGGGGCAACCACTCGCCCCGAGGCAGCAGAGCGAAGTGGTCAGGTGGGGGTGTAGGGCTTGACCATGGCCTGGAGATAGGAAGGAGCTGTTCCTTTCACTGCCCTGTAGGCTAGCACCAGAGTCTTAAACTGGATGTGAGCTCTTACAGGGAGCCAGTGTAGAGAATGGAGAAGGCAAGTTGTGTGGGAGAACTTGGGGCGATTGAACACCAGGCGAGCTGCAGCTTTCTGGACAAGCTCCAGAGGTCTGGCTCCGGCAAGTAGTGAGTTGCAGTAGTCCAGGTGGGAGATGACAAGCGCCAGGATAAGCACCTGTGCCGTCTCATCAGTGAGGAAGGGGCGAATCCTCCTGATGTTGTAGGGCAGGAATCTGCAGGAGCGTGTAACCGATGCAATGTTTGCTGAGAACGATAGTTGGTCGTCCAGGGTCACACCCAGATTCCTCGCAGTCCGAGTTGGCGTCACCATGGTATCATCAATGGTGATGGACAGGTCCCAGTGCGGGCAACCCTTCCCTGGGAGGAACAGTAGCTCGGTTTTGTCCAGGTCGAGCTTGTGGTGTGTCGTCATCCACTTCGAGATGTCAGCCAAGCACGCAGCGATGCCTGCCTCCACTTGAGTGTCCCCGGGGGGAAATGACAAGACCAGCTGGGTGTCATCGGCATAACAATGGTAAGAGAAGTCATGCGAGCGAATAACAGAACCCAGAGATGTTATGTAGAGCGAGAAGAGAAGGGGGCCCAGGACTGAGCCTTGTGGAACCCCCGTTGTTAGCACGCGTGGTTTCCGACACGGCCCCCCTCCATGTCACCTGGTAGGATCGACCTGACAGGTAGGATGCAAACAGGGAGAGTGCAGAGCCTGAGACACCCATCCCCTCGAGGGTGGAGAGGAGGATCTGGTGGTTCACAGTGTCAAACGCTGCAGACAGGTCCAGGAGAATCAGGACAGAGGCGAGAGAGTTAGCTCTCGCTGCGTGAAGCGACTCCGTCACCGCAAGGAGGGCTGTCTCAGTCGAGTGACCCACTTTGAACCCAGACTGGTGGGGGTCCAAGAGGTTGATCAGGTTGTCTTGGTTGGTCCCTGATGTTAAACCCAAAAATCCTAGCAGAAAAAGAAGAAAACTTCAAACCTTGTTGAACTGTTTATTTGTTTCAAAGAGATCAAAAGTCTTTAGTCTGAATCTCTCCAGAAAGATGTCTGTGCTCTGCTAACCGCCTGCCAAACTACTCTTGATGCTTTCTACTTCATGAAGTTCATTTCTCAATGTAGATCAACATGACGTGTTGCGCTTCAACGTGATCACTACTATTATGGATATTGTGTTATATTTTCCCAACGTGAACTGTTTGCATATTTCGACCGAACCCCTCCTTTGTACGTCTTTGGATTCTTCATGTTCAGACTGTGTGCTGTGGACTAAACCTTCCAAAGCTCCCGTTGTTTGAGGGCAGTCCTGGGTCACAACATCATAACACCGTTTGAGGAGAAATGAAAATGATTATCGTAAAAGTTATTTGACAAGCAGTTGTGCTGGAGTACACGGGCAGCTTGTAAAGGGCTACGGTGTGTTAAACCCTCACCCCTCTACAGGTCCGACCCACAATCCCCTTCACTGAACACAACATTCTGTCCTGCTGAGAAACCTGCTGATATCAAATACAAAATAAAACCTGCTGATTAGGTCATGAAGATGAATTGATGTGGCTCAAACATGAGGCCGACACAAAGAACTTCAGTGAAGTTCTGTGTTGACCCGAGGAGGAGCCACTGCACGACTTCTGTAATCTTCAAAGGGAAAAGAAAAGTTCATCGTTCAATTGTTTTGGACTCATGAATATTGATGAAAAAAGTATTTAGAAGTTCTCTTTAACAAGGATGACATGTAACATCTGTTCTGAATCAAGAATTAGTTTCAATCCAAGCAAATATTTAGCATGTGTGCATGAGGGAAGGCTAACTCCACATGTTGTGGAGACTGTGTAGGACACCAGCATATTTTAGACATATACTGTAACGGGTGGTTAGGACCCAGAAGCAGTACGACAGACACCCTGAATAGAATCAAAGCTTTATTCTCAACTGAACAAACAACAGGTAACAGTCCAGGTGCACAGGTGGAGAATCCCACATGGTGGAATGCCAAGATGCCAAGGGAGAAGGCAGACAGAACCGGGGCAGAGGCAAGACGGAGGAGTCCAAACAGGCAGGGTCGGTAACGGGACATCAGTAGGAGGGTAAACGCTGGAAGGTCTGGCATGATGCGGACAACAATGTGGTGTGTGTGAGACTGGGGTGAGTCAAAATAGTGATGCAGCAGAGTGAGCAGGTGAGAGTGATGAGCTGATGAGGTGGGCGTGACCAACAGGTGCACTGAATGAGCTGATGAGGTGGGCATGACCAACAGGTGTACTGAATGAGGTGATGAGGTGGGCATGACCAACAGATGTGCTGAATGAGGTGATGAGGTGGGTATGACAGATATATTTATATAAGTACACTTAAAGACTTTGATCTCCTGTGAATAAAGTCAAATGAATAAACACTAAACAGAAATGTACTGTACTGACACAGCGGTCAAAGAGAGGTTATGACAGAAAAGGAGTCGGCTGAAGTTGCTTATTAACCTTCTCACATATAATAAAAAACCTTTTGAACAAGCGACACAGTCCCAGAAATCAGTCTTTAAAGATGGAAGAATTCATCTTGTGTATTTTGTTTAGAGTCTGTGGAAGATTCAAATCAACTTCATTTACATGTTTGATTTGACATCACAGGGACACATTCAATGCACACATTACACAGGTATCATCACTGTGAACACGGCTCTCATCAGGGCATCTTTCTAGCAACACATGTGTTAGATGACAGATGATACAGTAAGTATTCTACATTCTTTTACCAAAAGCAAGACTGTTGCATATGATGCGTATCTTGGACATGTTCAGTCCGTATATTAAAGGGTTGAAGAGGGGTTGGCATGTCAGCCAGTATAATGATAAAAACACTCTTAACATGTTGGGAACACCGTTCATATTAAATCTGCTCTGCACTATTTCAAAGAAAGCTCCAAAGGAGAAGTTGAGCAGAGAAGCGAGGTGAGGTGTGCAGGTACTGACAGCTTTCTGTCTGGTCTGTTTACAACCAGAGAAACAAACTGTAAAGATCCTCACGTAAGAGTAAAGGATTAGAATTATAAGAGCAAATATTACTGTAAACATGTAAACAAGTCCATGCGTGTTATTGACTAAAGTGCCAGAGCACGCCAGTTTAACAACAGAGTAATTGTCGCAGTAGACTTTTTGAATTGTGTTCCCACACAGCTGTAACGGAACACTCAAAGACATCATGACAACAGTTGCAAGTGCACTGTACAACCACACGAACACAGTCAGGATTACTGCCTTGCTGGAAGTCATATGTTTATTATAATGTAGAGGACAACAGATAGCACGGTATCGATCATAAGACATGACTCCTAAGGTAAACAATTCAACACTTCCATAGAAATGAACACAATAGATCTGCAGGAAACAAAGTGGAGCAGAAACAGTGTGAATGTCAGAGAG